CACACAAGGCTTGACGAGCGGTGCGTAGGTCCGTGCCCGGGATCCGAACCCGGGAACCCCAGGCCACCGAAGCGGAGTGCACCAATTTAAGCGCTACACCACCGGGCCAGCCCCTTTGCCTTTTTATTGGAGTATAATCCATTTACATATAATGTAGTTACCAATAATGTAGAATTTAGGTCTGCTATTTTCTATATGTCTTTTTTGTTTCTTGATTTCTCTACTAGTGCCTCTTTTGTGTTAAATAGATATTGACTAGTGTAGCATTATAATTCCTATGGTAACTCTTTTATTATATATTTTTGAGTTATTTTGTTAGTGGTCCTGGGAATTACCATTCACATCTTAATATAAATTAACAATCTATTTGAATTAATACCAATTTTAACAGTAGACAAAAACTTTTCTCCTATATAACTCTGTCTCTCCCTTCTTTATGCTGTTATTTTCACAAGTTACATCTCTATACATTGTGTCCAATAACACAGATTTATAATTATTGCTTTATGCATTTGTCTTTTAAGTCATATAGGAGAGAAAATGGAATTACAAACCAAATACATTTAAACTGTCTTTTGTATTTACCCATGTAGTTACCTTTACCAGAGCTCTTTATTTTTTCACGTAGATTCGAATTACTCTCTAGTGTCCATTCATTCCATCCTGAAGAATCCCTTTAGTATTTCCTGTAGGTCAGTTTGCTAGCAATGAACTCTGTTTTTGTCTATCTGACAATGTCTTAATTTCTTGGTTGACAGTGTTTTTCTTCCACATATTTGAACATGTCATTTCAATGCCTTCCGGCTACCGTGGTTTTCTGATGCAAAATCATCTATTAATCTTATTGAGGGTCCCTTGTACATGATGAGTAGGTTCTCTCTTGCTGCTTTCAATATTCTTTTTGTTTTTGTCTTTGGACAGTTTGATTATGACGTGTCTGGACATGGATCTCTGAGTTTATCCTGCTTGGACTTCCTTAAGCTTCTCAGATGTGCAGATTAACAGTCATCAAATTTGGGAAGTTTTTGGCCATTATTTCTCCAAATATTCTTTGAGTCCCTCTTCGTCTTCTGGAACTCCCATTATGTGTATAATAGTATGCTTTATGGAGTCCCATAGGACTCTGAGATTCTGTTTATTTTTCTTCATTCTTTTTTCTTTCTGTTTCCCACACTGGATAATCTCAATTGATCTAACTACAAGTTCAATGATTCTTTCTTCTGCCTGCTCAAATCTGATATTGAGCTACTCTAGTGAATTTTTAATTTTAGTTACTATACTTTTCAACTTCAGAATTTCTATTTGGTTTCTTTTTGTAATTTCTATCTCTTTATTGATATTCTCTATTTGGTAAGACACTGTTCCCAGACTTTTCCTTTAGTTCTTTAGACATGGTTTCATTTAGTTTTTGAACATATTTTAAATAGCTAATTTAAAGTCTTTGTTTAGTAAGTCCAAGGTCTGAGATTCCTCAGGGACAGTTTCTAAACTGCTATTTTGCCTGTGTATGGACCATATTTTTTTGTTTGTAATTTTCATATCTTGTAAAGTTTTGTTGAAAACTGGACATCTTTTTTTTTTTCTAAGGAAGATCAGCCCTGAGCTAACATCCATGCCAATCCTCCTCTTTTTGCTGAGGAAGACCGGCTCTGAGCTAACCTCTATTGCCAATCCTCCTCCTTTTTCTCCCCAAAGCCCCAGTAGATAGTTGTACGTCATAGTTGCACATCCTTCTAGTTGCTGTATGTGGGACGTGGCCTCAGCATGGCTGGAGAAGCGGTGTGTCAGTGCGCGCCCGGGATCTGAACCTGGGCCGCCAGTAGCAGAGCACGCACACTTAACTGCTAAGCCACGGGGCCCGCCCCGACATCTTAAATAATATAATGTGGCAACCCTGGAAATCAGATTCTACTCCCTCCCCAGGGTTTCCTGTTATTGTTTTATGTTGTTTTTTAAGTGACTTTTCTGAACTAATCCTGTAAAGTCTATTAATATTTCTACTCAACTAGCTTAGTGGTCAGCTAAGGCCTAGACAGAGATATCCTTAAACACCTAGAACCAATAAATCTCTCTGTCTTAGGCGAGGGGCTATGTGCACATGGCAGGGCATGCCTGCAACACTGAACCAGGCAGTTGTCAACTCTGCCTTAGCCTTCCCTTTCTTCTTGCACAGAGCCTCAAGGGCAGCCAGAGATAAAGGGGAAGGCCTTCTCAGGTCTTTCTTGAGCATGCACACAGGCCTATGCATGTGTGTGGTCCTTGAGAGTACAAGGAACATGTCATGCTTTGAAAAGCATCTGTGGACATCTCATCCTCAGTTTTTCCTTTTAAGCTTTTGGTTAGTCTCTTGTTTGCCCCAACTGCTATTCATCACTTCAGGCAGTGTGACATCAAAACACTTGCCTGAAAACGTTTTTGACAAACACCACCCACCACCCCCCGCACATACACAGGCTTTTAACACTGGATAGCTCTGAGTGAGGTCAAATAAAGACAAGCATTGAGTGGAGTCTTCCAGGGAACTACCAGACAGGTCAAATATTGACAATTCTTTGGGAATGAAGTTTTGAAAGAGCTCCAGCTCTCTTCCACTCCCTCCAGACCTGGGAATGCAGGCTGACATTTTTAAAGGTTATCACTGAGCTCAGTGTGGGGATGGGACTAGGGCAAGTTCAAGTGCCACAAAGCTTACTGTTCATAACAAGATTCAGCCATTTTTATTGAATAAATGCTCACTGGGTTGCTACAAGCCTTTGGTTAATTTCCAGAGTTTTGGAAACATTTTCTGAAAAGTTTTGCCTATTTTTTTGTTGCTTTTATCAAGGGGCAAATTCTTGGAGGTCTTTAGTCCACCATTTTTTCTACTATAACTCCCCAACCTCTTTAAAAAATCCCAGCCAGTTCTCTCCCCCCATGGCTTTTACTCCTATTGACAGTGATTAATATATAAATATTTGTATGTCTATAATGAGCATTGGTATGAGTTATAAAATGGCTTACCAAAAAAAAGAGACATGGTACCTCTCTTCACAGAGCTTGTCACCCAATATAAACAAAGTGTTGTTACTACTTAAAAATGTTATTAGACCTAATAAGTAAATTTCTAACATTTATCTCTTTCTTTGAGAGATTGTTACCTTTGCCTTGCTTGTATTTTCTTTTTAAGGATTTTATGAGTTCAATTGTTAACTCATTCTCAATTGAGGGGAAATCTTTTTGACCAAAATTTTGCCAATAATGGTGTATGACTTGCCCTTGGTCCCAAACTCTAATTGTATCTTTCTCATATCTATAGATGCACAACATATTAATAGACAAGAGCTATTAGAACAATTCCTGGGCTTTCATCTAGAGTAGCTCTACCGGCCTAAGAAAGGATTGTTTTCTATTCTCAACTCCCTCACTCTCAGAATAGACGGAGAACATGAGAAACTACAATCTCAAGTATATACAGCTATTAGATCTGTCTTATTGATGCATTCAGTACTTTATTTACAGGGACACTATTTCTCAGGATACAATGGACCATCAGTGAGTCATTTTTTTCCTCCCATTACTGTCCAATTTTTCTAAACGTTAATGTCTCCAACTAGATGGAAGAGTTAGGGATGTGAATGGATAGCAGGACATCGGAGGCCTCAAGAAGTATCGGGACACCAGATCAGTTTTCTATTGGTACAGACATTCTTCTGAACTAGGGGACTGCAAGTAAGAAAGGGACCAAAGATTTTCCCACCTACAATCAAGTGAGCTTGTTTTATTTCTGGGGTAGCCATTAAGTATGTTTTTAAAATCATAGCCTTGCAGGTAGTGGAAATTTCTTCCAGTTTCTGGTTATGGGCTTAATAATCAATCCTAACATTTGGTAAGATAAGCATTTTTGTGGTTCTTTTTTTCAGTGGCATCATAGTGGGAAATTAGGAACAGTTATACCAGGGGCTTTAACTCAGTTACCATTAGATACTAGTTTGGTCCCCTTTAAATTAACAAAAAAAATCTGCCTAAGACAAAGGATAACTTCGCCTTTCTGTGTAATTTCTACACATTCAAAGATGTCCATTCACAAATCATGAAGAAAACAATTTATATCTAAATGGAATCAAGTCATCTTCTGTGGACCACTCAAAATTTTATCCCATTAATCAAAAACCCCACACTACACCAACTCAGTATCCTTATATTAAAATCCCTACAGCAAATATTTACTGAGTTCCTCCATGCTATTCATTTTCTAAATCTGCAGCTCCTCTGTGGTGATCTCATGGGTGCCGCAGGATATTTTAAAATTCTAGGGGAACAACAGTGATACCTGATATCTGGTGTACACTATACAAACGACTAACTAAGGTGGTAGTTTAAAGTTTCAACATTAGATAATGCTACATTCCTTTCAATGCTATTGTATGTCTGCAAAGCTGGATTTTTGAGCGTCAGTAATAAATGCAGGAAATGTGGGTGATTGTGTCCAATTTCACCTCAAAGTTTGAGAAGTTGCACAGTGCCCTTACAGCTGCACATATCTCATAGTAAGTAACTGGTTATTTATGAACAAAATAAAATATTTTCCTTCAAAAACCAAAACCAAAAAGAAATACCTAATATTTTTGTTAAGTTGTTAGATCAAAACAGTAAGTATTTATGTTCTAATAACTTAGTAGCTGTTTGAAAAAATACTTCTCATATTTATATTTGTTCCACAGATGAGAAAAAACAATTACTGAAACATTAAGGGCACTGTGAACAGAGAAAACTTGGAAAAGTTTGTCCTAAACGGAGTCCACTAACCCAAACAATCCATCAAATATTTGTAAAATGTTCAAATGTACATAACACACGACTGAATAACTCATCTATCTGAACCAGAGATTGAGGCATGAAAAGCTCCATATTTCACTGAAAGATTAAATAGCACTGAGCCTTCATATGTCATTCCAGAATCAACCAGCCAATCCACAAAAAAAAATCCAAAAATTAAATTTTGAATAATTTCTGCATAATACCTGAGTGTGAGCTCTCAACGGTGGTGTCTGATTTGGAATCCAGAGATGAAGGAATCTGTCTTAATTGTGGAACATAGTACATCTTCATACTACCAGAAGGCTTATATGGCAACAGTGACGGCTGGGCTAAGGAGATAAAGATCAGAATAATTAATAAGAAAACATTTATTAATTCATTGAACAATACTGAGTGCCTTTAATGTGCCAAGCAGTGTTCAAGATTCTTGGGATATATCAGTGAACTAAACAGAAAAGTATCTCTGCCTTCAAGAGGAACTAGCATTCTCGAGGAGGGAGATATACAGTAAACAATTAACATACTAAATAAGTAAATTATCTAGTGTTTTAATAAATTACAAGTGATATGAAAAAAACAACTGGAAAATGCTGAGGGAGATCAGGAGTACTGGGGAAACTGGGGCAGGATGCAGTTTAAACAGGGTGGTAGGGGTAGGTTTCATAGACAAGACGAGTTTTTAGCAATCTTTTCCATATATAGATGGCTCCAACTAAAAACACTTTATCCATTATCTTATATTGAACCCAAACGTGGTCATTGTTAACACCTACTACTGGTCTTATGGTCTTTCTTATTCTGCCCCCAGAGTTACAGAAAATAAGTCTAATTCTCTTCTATATGACAGATCTTCAAAATAAAGTTTCCATTATAAAAGTATAAATTCTCAATATTAAGAAAATACATAAAAGTAAAAAAGACAAAGTCCTACCACTCAAAGATAACAATTATTAATATTTTACTATATTTCCTACATGTCTTTTCTGTTTCCTATTTGTTTACATAGTTGTCTGCATATAGTATGTATAATTTGGAATTCAGCTTTTTTACTTCACACTTACAATAAAATATTCATTTTATTTCCTATCTTCACATTTTTTTGGCTATACTACAGATTACATGTATTTCACCCTTCTCCCAATGTTAATTTAGGTTGAGTTAAATTTTCAACTATAAAGAATTCTATGAATAAAGATTTTCCTGTTTATAACATACCCACTCTCCCCTGCTGCCCCATCTCAGGCAAATTCTCTGTTTACAGTGTGAAAAAGTACACCATTTATAAAGTTTGTTTCTTTTAAACACTAACTGCTAAAACTGCTTTCTAAAATGTCTGTGCCAATGTAATAATTTGATTATTATAGAGGATGAAATCTTTTTTTATATACTTGTTTTTCTTTCATGATGTGGTAGAATCTCTCTCTTTCTTTATTAATAACAGCTTCCTGATATTTAGTGGGCACACACTGCCTGTCTGTACCCTATATTTTCCAGTCTCCCTTGCAGCCACAAATGAACGTATGACTAAGTTTGGGCCCATGGGATGAGCGTGAGAATACTTTGTGCAATTTTCAGTCATCCCATTAAAATACTCCACTTCCCAGGGACCGGAGATCACGACAGCTATAGCAGCCACTTTGGAACCAGAGATGGAAGTAAGACTGTAGAGATGCTTTAGCATCAGACACAGAAGAGAGCTACCTGCTCTAGACCACTTACCTGTAATTTTAGAGTTTCTGTGATAAAATAGCTTATCCTGTACCCCAAAACATACTCAGTAAGTAATCAGTCAATTAATTTTAAATCCACTGGAGATGCCACTTACTATCTTTGTGACCTTGAAAAAAATAACTCTTTGCCTCAGTTTCCTCTCCTACAAAATGGGCATGATAATAATACCTAAGTCTTAGGGTTATTGTGAAAATTTAAACAAATTTTAAAAATTTAAAATGCATCAAACAGTAATTTTGACATGTGTTTAGAGGTAAAGTGTTGAGTTCTTCCAATCCCCTTCTCTCTGAATAAGTAATGAACTTACTCTAATAGCACTTATTATATAATCTCTATTTTTTTCCGCCGTGATACCTCCTTTATCACACATTAAATTCAAGTAAAACAATTCACCTTTGTGCTTTATATTCTATTCCATCAATATGTTTATAGATGTTTAGGCTAGTACTACACTTTAAATTTGGCTGCTGCTAAAATTTGTCCTCCCCATTACTCTTTTTTTTTCCAAATTTTGTTATTCTTCCTGATAAACTTTAAGATCAATTAAACAAGTTCAAAAGAACAATCCCATTAGAATTTTGAGCAGAATTATGTTAGAGTATAAATTTATTTGGGGAAAAAAATGACATCTGTACAATATTCAGCCTTCCCATCCAGAAACATTCCATCCTTTCTCTTAATTTAGTCAACTGTTCTTTTCTATCTCTATACAAAGGATTAGTATTTCTTTCACATAGGTCCTATAAAATTCTTGTTTAGGTTATTCCTGAGTATTTTATGGGGTTGTATCACTCATATGAATAGAATTTTGTAGCTAGCTATCATTTCTCCCAACTAAACATCTCCAGCTCCTTCAGTTTATTCTTACAGACCATGGGGTTTTCTCTCGGATCCTGTCACCACCTCTAGATGAACTCCCAGTTGCCCAGGTCTAGTTTATAAAAATTAAAATACTCTAGACAGAGTCTGATATGCCCAGAGTAGAATGAGGTCTCCTTCATTCTGGACACAATAATAACCTATTTATTACTTAGAATTATTTTACCATCCTTGACCACTCATTCACTCTGATGACTTATTTTGACACTAAATTCCTTACTTTCAGTACCCTGCTTCCAACCAAGGAACTCACTTCACGGTGAAGGAAATGAGATAAAAGGCTGATGCCCAAAGGGATTCACTGTTCTCATCACAAGTCTTATCACCCACAACTATGCTAAACTTAAAAAAAAAAGTGCATGAGCGATTTACTGATAACTGTTACGGCACACACTGGTGGGCATCACTTTGTGAGGCTGGAATGCTAGCTTACAGAATATGGCATATGCTCAGAACCATATATGGCACTTGCCTATCCCACAGACAGAATACATGCATTCAGGAACAAAGGTAGAGAAGCCTTTTAAAAATCTTTTGCTTTCCATCTCTGTGACTCTGAGCTTTGTTAAATGGAAGATCTTAGAAATAAGAGAGGGACACTTCCACCAGGAGACAGGAGCCATTTAGTTATTTTACATTCTTTACATCACTGAAACAATACATGGAATAGGATGCCACAGTGTTAAATAAACTAAGATTGACTTTAAGTATTGAGGAGAAATGAGGTTGTCTTAAAAAAAGAAAGTCAATAGGAGTATGGCTAACACCTAGGGGACAACTTCACCATGCCTGGTAATAGAAATTAACAAAAAATTACCTTAAACCTATATGTGCAGGGCTAGTAAAGTCTCAGACTACTTGGGAATACTTGTACCACTCCATCAGGCAAAAACCCAGAAACACGAACAATAACAACAAAAACAAAAAACTCAGCCAATGAGAATCTGGCTGAAGTTAAAGAGAACAAAAAAATGTATAGAGGAGGAAAGAATTTAAACAACAGAAAAAATAGGCTGTAGCCTACACTTCTACTTGGTCACCGATGTAGTCATTATTGTTAGAATATTGATTTATTAATTCCTTCCTCCACTAGTATATATAAAGCTTGACCCTTATGGTTAAATTTACCATTTAGTTCAAAGGTTGCAGAAAATGAATAATAATAATTGGGCAGAATTACAATGGACCCAGAGCAAGAATGGCTATCATGTGGAGATAAAGAATTCTGAGACAGAGAAGTGGCTCTTTGAAATTCTCAACAACTTTATGCTTGGATGCAGCAGTCATAAGGTTACTTTGGATTGCCTGCCTTGGGGGAAGAAGCGACTACACAGCAAATAGTGGTTACTTCTGGGAAAGAAAGAAAGGACTGGAAAGGGGTAAAGAAGAAAAGTTCAAAGATAATATTTATTTCTTCAAAAAAATCTGAAAATAGAACCAAAAAATAAATACATAGAGCATATTATTCTGAATTTGTTAATCTAGAGTAGTGGGCACATAGTCATGTGTTTAACGTACTATTCTTTGTACTTTAAAATATTTTCATACCAAAAACAAAAATTCACAAAATTTTACTTTTGAATCTACAGTAGTAAAAATAATATTTTATTAGTAAACCAAATAATATTAATCTTTTAAAGCAGTCCTTTCTCCCAGGTACCTCTATGTAAAGATAAAACCATAAATTGTGGCATCTATGTAGACTGATCCATTTGATGTAAGTAGAGTTTAAAATACACTTTCACAGTTGGTTTCCCCCTCCTGTGCTTCTGCCACCACCATGAGAACAACATACTCCAGGGTAGCTATTGTCCCATTAGCCTGGGTTTCAGAACAAGGCATATGGAACAGACCCAAACCATTTCTGCAGCCTGGAGCCAAACTCCAATTGACCCACAAGCCTGTGAGTGAGAAAAGCAAATGTTTATTGTTATAAAGCACTGAGATTTCTGATGTTGTTTGTTATATGGTATCACTGTGGCAATAGGTAACTGACACATGAAGGTGTTTTTTGTGATATTTATTAAATTATACCTTTTGGGGGTATACTTTTATTTCACAATAAAAATGTTTAAGAAGTATAGCCATCTTAACATATAAATGTACTTATTTAAATTAAATTCAATGCAATTTAAATGCTGAACCAAGCAATCTTCTTTATATTTAGTCAAATCCCATCTATACCTACAGATAGATAAGCTTTTTGCATAAGTAGGAAAACTTAAAATATATTTTGAATAGATTTGTGCAAACTATTAAACACTTTAAAATCAGTTAAATTTTTTTTTAATTTTTTATTTATTTATTTTTCCCCCTAAAGCCCAGTAGATAGTTGTACGTCATAGCTGCACATCCTTCTAGTTGCTGTACGTGGGACACGACCTCAGCATGGCCGGAGAAGCAGTGCGTCGGTGCACACCAGGGATCCGAACCCGGGCCACCAGCAGCGGAGTGCGTGCACTTAACCGCTAAGCCACGGGGCCGGCCCTAAAATCAGTAATTTAAAGTTCCCACCG